TGCTAAGAGCAGAGATTCAGGAGTGGGGAGATATTATAACACATATATTTTGGAGAAGAGAATGAACATCACATCTATAAGGCATTGCAAAACTCTAAAAGTTCTTGTCAGCAGTGTCATATAAATGCTGTTATTCAAATATCCCATTAATATATTCTCTGGGAAAGAGCTTCTTAAAATTTAATCAGAGAACAGCCCCAGGAGGTCATTCTGCTGATGCAAGATAGTTCCCCATCATACATTTTCTTGCGCTTTCTCTAGTCTTGTTTTAAATGTCCCAAGTGATGGGGGATTTTAACCTCTTCCCTTGGGAGACTAAAGCCTAATTGATCGAATTCAGAATGTTCAGACCAAGGAATTCCCAAGTGGCTCCTCATTCTTCATGATCTTTAGAGACTATATCCCTGTAACATGAAGCACACTCTGGTATCAACTGTACTGGACTGATATATTTTGTTGCAGCTAGAAGTTTATACCTATCATTAAACCAGAATGATCACATCTGTGAAAACTCAGACTCTGCTTTGGTCTTTTGTATGTATGGCAGTAGATCTCTTATGTGGCATGTTGTTCACAAATTCTGGAGGCAGGTTGTTTTCTAGGGGGCTGTATCTGTATATTAACAGAGTGAAGAAATACTACAGCAATGAATTTTGTATGCCTTCGGTGATATGCCTTCAGTCTTCATATAGCCACCAAGTGCTCTTGCTACCCCATATTGTGCTGTGTTGTTATTTTTTGACAACACGCATCCTCAGCTTCAGTGGAGTTACACCCAGAAGAATTTGGACTGGGCCCAAAACTCCAATCATGGTCAATGGGAGTCTTGCCTCAGTAAAAAGTAAGGAACTCAGGATGGGCCCATTATTAATCAGAACTATCCCATGAAAAAGGAAAACAAGCCTTCACTTGTTGGTGGAAGTCAGCTGGGAGCTAGCTAATTTACAGGGCTATGGCGGAGCTACTGGAGGATTCCACCATGGGCAAGTAAAGCAGAGCTAGTGCTTCACAGCTGAGCAAGTTCTGATCCACCTTCCCCAAGCAGGAGCCCCCATCCTCTCTTGGCATTTGCTCCAGATATAATCCACTTCCCTGATTCCCCCAGCAGGCTGGGAACTAGCACAGACTGGGAGCCCAGGGTGACTCTGTGCAGAGTGGCCAAGAAAAAGCAGGCATGGACTATGAGACTGCCTGCCCACTTGTGCTCAGAGCACTGCTGAAGGTACTAAGGAGGTAAGTCTTGTTCACTTGGAACTAAGGAACAGGAGAGGGGAAGGAGGTTATCAGGACAAATACAGAGCATCCCAAGGGTTAATATGAAGATGCAGTTAGTTGTATTTTATATTAAAATGAAGCAATCCCCTTTTTGCTGACATGGAACACTAATTGCAAACCTCCACAAGGATTATGTCACTCCTAACCTAACCTGGGGTTTTAATGATCCCCTTGTGAAATTGCTCTGGATATCCAAAATGAAATACTGCAGATCGATATAAAGTATGTATAGCATTAATAACAGAGACTTTCAAAGTAAGGCACCAAAGGCAAAATGATCTATTTTGGGACTCAGAATCTGCTGAGAAACTACTGGACCAACTGACTGAAAACTAAATGTTGTCTCTCTCTCTCTCTCTCTCTCTCTCTCTCTGACAAAGAATCTGTATAACGATTAATGCTACTGACCGGTTACCCGCTGTGCACAGAACAAGGCTGGACTAAGGCATCCTATTACATTTTTTATCCCATTTTCCTCTCTCCCCTCTCCTGTCCACTTGTTTGTTTCATCGATCTTTTTGCATCTTGTCTTTTAGACTGTAAGGTCTCTGGGACAGAGCTCTGTATTTATTAACCATGTGTCCAATGCTCTGCACTATGGGGTACCAATCTAGTTAGGACTCTGGTCCCCATTGTGATATCAGTGATAAATAATAATGATCACTGGTGCTACACCAGAGTTTTCAAGCTGACAGGCCTGATTAAAGCTAACACTGAATTTCACATGTAAAACCGATATGGTGCTGGCTTTTAGTAACTCTGGGACAGATTGTCCCCTAGTGTCAATCAGCATGATTCCACTATTGTCAATAGCACCAGTCCCCATCAGCTGAGAATCTGGCCGATTCTAGCTTGCTTAGAGAGATCAGAATTTTAACTGAAAGCTTCATGTTTTAAAAGTGGGTTGACCTGGTTAAAGGGCCATGATGTGATGTGGCCTTCACATAATTAAGAGAGTGATCCCAGGAGGTGCTCAACACCTGAAATTGAGGGGGAAATCTGGCCTTTTATCTAACTTAATTTCTTCTAAGCAGGCGAGGCTGAGATAGATCCCTCACACAGAAAATGGGTTTGCTGCCTGACTGTTCAATTTCTAATGATTTATAATTCCCCTAATAAGGGACAGACATAAAAGCTCTCCCTGATTTAAATAAGGCCTTATTCTATGCCTTACAAATAAGCACCAGATTTATCTTGTACAATATACTGGGTAACTTTTCAGCACTTGCCAGTACGTGAAGCCATGTTGGCTGCACATCAATGAGAGAGAAGCTGTCTTTTCAGTCAAGGAGGAGGAACATCATATAGGCAAAACTGTAAGTGCTATGTTAGTGCCTACCTCTTCCTTGTATTGACTGGTGTTGGGTAACTATTAACCCCTGATTAGAATTATATAAGAGGTATTGTACTGCATCAGTTTCAAAGGAATCGGCTCAGTCGTGAAACAACACTGCTGTGTCCACTGTTTCCTGGGATTGTGTATCTGTGTTTATATTGGCCTGGAAATTATGGGAAAACAACATGACTGACAGATGCTGCTGATGCTACGAGAAGGCAATGAGTGGGACACCGTCTGGGCAGCAACGGCTGAATGCATTATATCTAGGAAGGGAAGAAGAAGCACGTTCGCTGGTGGTCCTTGCTAGACCTTCAGGAAAAAGACCATTGCCGCCAATGCAGCCATCTGGTTGTTTACCAATCTGTAAGCATCATGGCTTCACCTCTCCACAGCATAGCATCCTCTGTGGGGATGAGCAGTGCTGGGAGCCCCCTGGAACTCAGGAAATGCAGGTAGCCACATTCTGACTGCCTCCTGCAGGGAAATGCTAGGAGAACAAGAGGCTTAGCACATTTGTCCTGTAGCAATCATAATTTGTCCCAGAGAACTGTTTCTGTGAATGCAGCTGTGACCATTCACAATTAGATAGAATGGGCCAGTCCTATATAATGTCCCAGGTCCCTCAAAGAAACAGACATCTCCATTAAACCAGAAACACATGAACTCTTCTAGCATTTCATTCATTTGAGCAGATATTATGGAAGACATGTACATCCTGACAACAGTGAAAGGTTAATCTTTATGCTTCCTATGGATCATTAGACATGCTCATGTTTGCTACAAGGTTAATGCCTTCCCAGGCTTAGTTTAGTCTGATAAGGGCTTCATCCTAAGAGGTGCTGAGCGCCATAATCCTCATTGACTGAAGGATAGGATGGGCAGGGACGCAAACCCATGCTCTAAAGTGTCCCTAGCCTGTTTGCCAGATGCTGGGAATAGGTGTGTGACGGTTTCAGTCACAGAGACCCCCTTGGGACTGTCACCTGATGTGCTGAAATTACCTCTGAGCCCTTTTTCCCTGCCAGCTTGGGACTCCAAAACCCTGCTTTGTTGAGCCAGACATGCTAGCCTGCTGCAACACAGACTCAGGGTCTAGGCCTCGCCCCCAAAGCTGCAGACTTTAACCAAAAACAGCTCAGCAGGTTACCTCTCCAGCACCCAGACACCCAGTTCCTAATGGGATCCAAACCCCAAATAAATCCGTTTTACTCTGTATAAAGCTTATACAGGGTAAATTCATAAATTGTCTGTCCTCTATAACACTGATAGAGAGATATACACAGCTGTTTGCTCCCCCCAGGTATTAATCACTTACTCTGGGTTTATTAATAAACAAAAGTGATTGTATTAAGTATAAAAAGTAGGATTTAAGTGGTTTCAAGTAATAACAGACAGACCAAAGTAACCCAGCAAAATAAAGCAAAATCACGCAAGTCTAAGCCTAATACATTAAGAAACTGATTACATGTAACATCTCACCCCCAAAGATGTTCCCTTAAGCTTCTTTCACAGACTCCTTCCTAGTCTGGGCCCAATCCTTTCCCCTGGTACAGTCCTTGTTAGTTCCAGCAGACATCTCAGGTGGTAAGCAGGGGTTTTCTCATGACTGGCCTCCTTTTGTCCTGCTCCACCCCCTTTTATAGCTTTGGTACAAGGCGGGAATCTTTTGTCTCTCTGGGATCCCACCCCTCCTTCTAAATGGAAAAGTACCAGATTTAAGATGGCTTTCATTATTAGGTGACATGGCCACATGTCACTGTGAGACCCCTAGTCTCCATTCTTCCTGGGCTGGCCCACACGACACAGGAAGGTTTGCAAGTAAACAGAGCCCTTTACAGTTCATTGATTCTGAACCACCCTTAATGGCTTCCACTTAATATGTTTACATCAGTAATACAAGTTTATATCTTATTCTCCTGACTCCAGACATAGGAATAATACATGCAAACAAATAGGATGAACACACTCACTAGATTATAAGCTTTGTAATGATACCTTACAAGAGACCTTTTGCATAAAGCATATTCCAGTTACATCATATTCACATTCATAAGCATATTTTCATAAAGCATATGGAGTGCAATGTCACAAGGTGACAGGGGATGGATAACTTGATGATTACCTGTTCTGTTCATTCCCTCTGAATCACCTGGCATTCGCCACTGTTGGAAGACAGGATCCTGGGCTAGATGGACCATTGGTCTGACCCAGTTGGCTGTTCTTATGTTTTTACTGTAATGGGAGTTATGAGTACTAAGAGGGCTTAGGATCAGGCCCTAAGTCCTTACCTAGACCATAGGAAAAGATTCCTAATGGATGAAGGCCAACACCTGTTACTGGCCCTAGTCATGGTAGAACATAGAAACACACAGTTCACAGACAGTACCTTAGGGTCAGGGTTAAGAGCAGTGATGCAGTTGAGCCGTACAGCAGGAATCTCCGGAAGGAGTGGATATAGTTGGTTCTGGAGGCGACTGGTCAGTTCTCTGCTCCACCAGATAACATTTGGAAGCCATGTATGGGAGAGGTACATAGAGATCTGCTGGTAAAAAATGGATGTTCCTCGAAGAGCTTCCTTAGCCTACAAACAGTGACATTTGATTAAACGCCTGGCCTTCAGGTTAACAGTGCACTGCAAGACAGCAGCACATATTATTTACAAGAAGCTTTTTATACACATGTTGCATGACTGGAGTTAAATGGGAGATGGAGGAGAGAATTTACCACAGTTCCCAATGCAGACCAGCAGTTATACTTCCAGCTTTGCCACTGATCCTTGGCTGGCTATCTTCCCCTCTCCTGTCAAACCCACCAGCAGCACAACCCCTTCCCTATTTTAATGATGAAACACTTGCCCAGCATTTTCTCATTCAGCTCTCTATGCCCTACCCAGCCTTGCATATAAGTACAGTACAACTAAACAGGAGGCAGGCAGGCTGGGGACTAGCATGGAGGTGAGACCCTAAATCCATCACTAAGGTAGAGAGGAGGTTGCTAGCTCCAGTTGAAGGGGGATGAAGAGGGCACAGGCAGGCACAGACAAGTTCTTCATCTGCTGAAGTGGTATGGACGCCCAAAAGGCTGGGAGCCCTGTGTGATGGACAGCATGTCTCAGTTATTTTATATCTGGACTTTACAGCCAATTGAAGTTGTTAAGGCCAATGCTGCTCTCCATAATAAAGCTTTATGGCTAAGCCAGCTAATCTTTTCAGTAGTTCTGGCCAAGGGGCAATGCTATGAATCTCATCAGTGTTCTACAACCAAAGGTGACCAGTAACTTTCTTTTGGCTAGGGGACGTTCCACTTGTTCTGCAGCCCAGGGGATGACTGTATTATATAAATCTTTGTGAAGGATCACTGCTTTTAATTATAACCAGATTCTGCCTTTCTGAAGCTGGGGATGGGGGGAAACTATTTCATTAAGAGGACCATAAATCAGTCTAATGCTGTATAATATTCACTTAAGAAATCTTTCACGGGGCTATTTTACAGGTCTGAACAGTGGTATTCATTTGATTTTTTAATAAGATTGTTATTAAAAACACTGAAACCCAATCTTTGTTCTACACTGTTGGGAAGTTACAGATCTCTTTGGTTTCCTCTCTAAACCCACTTGTCCCTCCAAATTGGTTCTAAACAACTAGGGCTGCCAGAGAGAAGACTTTTCCCAAACAGGGACCAGCCAACAGGGGCCAGCTTGTAAATGATCAGGATTAATAGTTATGCAAAATATCTTCTCTCTAGCATCTGTTCTGGTACCTTCAAACAAAAGCACAAACTGTAAAGGTCTCAGACTCAATCCTCAGCTCATTCAATGACAGAGACTCCATGGAAGTTATTTTCATGCACCACAAAATTGTTTAGTGTTAGCAAGTGTATAGAAAACAATCAGGTTGCTTTATTTAGTGATAGCCTGCCTAACTGAAAACACTGTTTAAATTCTTAAAGAGCATGTGTCATAAAATCTGATTCCCATCAGACATTCCTCTAAATACATCTTGTTTAACAGGATGCAAAGGTTACAAGAGATAAATGTATCATTCTAACAACTCCAGGACCCTGATCTGTATAGGGAATGAGTAAACTTGTCTCGTTTCAATCATTTGTTTGGAAGGGGGACAGAAACTGGCATTCCAAAAGCTACCAAAGCTGATGACAGAGGGGGATAAATTTTGAAGATTTGCTTGATTTATAGAAATAGATTTAAAAACAAAAGATGCTGTCATGGTTGAGAGATCGAAAGGTTGACCTGCCCAAGACAACAGTTCCCTCCTTGAGGAGCCTGTTATATTTTTATTCAGAAACCATTAGACCTTGGGCTAGAGAAATAAAATCTGACAACAACAAAAGACATGCCGCTGCCAATGAAATGCCCAGTAAACAGAAAGCAGAAGGCTCAGGGGACTGGAATGGAGAGTGTGTCCTTTCTAGGTTGGTAGTGCCTGAAAAAAACCATTAGCATCCAATGGCCTATGTGAAATGAATAGGACAGGTCAGTCCAGTTCACAGTGGCCAAATGTCCACCTCTGCAGTCTGAGCTAACTACTATTATTATTACAAGTGTGGCAGGGCACCACCCTCAAGTACAACCCCTTGGTCTTGCAGGGACTCTCTCTCTCTTGCAGTCTTGCAATTGCAATGATTTACTCCCAGTCCACGACTTAAATCAAGATTCCCCCCCAGGGGGCTGATTTATTAATTTTCACGGTACAAACCCTTTAGCCCCTCAAGTCTACCCTTCCTCTGGGAGCTGGCTGCTAAGACCAACAAGCCTCCTCCCCTAAGTTCAGGAGTCCCACAGGCCTCCTCCCAGCACCTATGTTAATAATTCAGTCCTTCCGGTCCTGCACTAAGGAAGTTCAGCAGCAGTGATCTTCCTCGTGGGCCTGTGTCTCTGGGAGCACCTCTTCTTCTGAGCCTCTTCTTTCTAGGAACAACCCTCTCAACTGAACTATGGCAGCCTTTTATCAGGCCAGGTGCTCATTAGTCAATTAGCTGACACCAGCCATCTAGGCAGATAAATACTACAGTTTGGCCAAGATGGGCTTGTTCTCCTTAAAGAAGGCCCCCATAGTTAGACTGGGCCCTGACACCTCTTAAAGACTACTGTCACCACCACAGCTGGCCTCCCTGTTGGCAATCAAGCCAAAGCGACAAGAAATGCAAGGCCCAATGGGACTTAATGTCCTGCTCAACCTATGAGTGGTCCCACCATGTCACGGCTGCGCAATATTAGTGGACAGGCTGAGGGAAGTTAACACTTGCTCTGTGGACTGAAATAGGTCCTCAGTTTCCAGGACTAGCAATCCACTGCTTTTCAGCACTACATTCATGAAACAATATTAAAAGAAAAAAACATCACAATCCACTGTGGCTAACTTGATGTGAATCAGATACTACTGTGATGGGCTCAACAGACCAATACATAAACAGACAGACATTTTCTCTTTGGTAACATGTGGGCACTAAATGTATCTAATAGTTTGCACAGCCAGTCATGTGTCTGTTCGCCATACTAATAAAAGAACTATGGATTACTCAAGCTGAGAACATTAAAATGTCCGGGTGCTAGACTTAAATTTTGACCATGACCTTGTACATTCTTTTGTAGATGATCTAAAAAATTTAGCAACTCATATTGTCCTCAAATCTCACAACCAACAAAGTTATTTTCCTGGACAACAGAGTGACCATGAGATTTTGCACACCAAATTAAGCTAAGCCCCGATGACTGATTGCCATTGTTTCCATAAGAAACAACTAGAACGAGGAATGTTAACTGCTGCAAGAGAGGAATATTGTTATCTCATGTTGCCAGGTAAGATACTACACATTAGCACTGCAGCAAGAGACTAGAGCCGGAGAGTCTGAACAGTGAAATCTGCCAGGTTTCTCTCCAGCAATAGCTGTGGCTGATAAGGAGAACAATAAAAGAGGCAGCAGTGAGTTGCTTTTGTTTTCATTGTCTCTGCTGCATCTGACATTTTTGAAAGTTTTTAGTGGTTCCCATCAGCTTACATCTCTGACAAGGGAACCAAGAGCCGCTGTACAAGTGTTGGAAGAAAGCAGGAATAACAAAGGCAGTGTTGTAGGGAAGGGCATATGCTGGAGCCTCTGTAATGAGAGGAGACCTCTCACGAGAGGAAACATCAGTTGCACACAGGCCCAGTTTAAGGAACACCGTCCAGCTGGCTCATGTGTTCACCGTTGTGTGTATTAGCTGAACTGGGTACCAATGGCAGTGCATGCAAGCAGGGTGGAAGGATTGTTCCATGATTTATTTCTGTGACTGAAAGCTCTATGCAGCACGTGCAGGCAATGTGGGATAAAATCAACCCCCTTCCCTGACTTCACCAAATGTTCGGAGCAGCCTAGGCCTGTAGCCTGCAAAATACATTCAATTATATGACACCAGATGGGACTTTTGAGCTGGCTCGGTGTTAACTTATTTCGACACTCTGATCAGCTCCATAGCTGAGGTGAACAGATAGTATCAAGGCAAGGGGATGGGGGGGGGGGGGTAAGTCTCTTTACCACCCATTTGCTTGTGTTTCAAAGCATTTATCTTGGATCCAGTGGACCTAAGGCGGAAATCATTGTGATACCCTTAGGCAGTTTAGCAAGCTGCCTTTCCTCACCCACCCAGCTGCTTCTCCCCACAGTGCCCAGGCATCAACAGGAGGGTTTGCTTATTGTCTCTTGTGCAGTGTTTTAATTATGACATAAGTTGTCAGCGTCAAATCACATATTTGCAAAGCTTTGCAGCCACAGCTGTCACATTCCAGGCTAGCTTTATGATACTTCATGGGAAACTTAGTCTTCCCTGCTCACAGGCAGCCAGCTCCTCAGCTGTGGATGAGGAGCACTCACTCCATCTGAGCAGCGGAATGGGTTCTAAACCCAGATTTGCACCCCTACCCCCGACCTTTGATCTGGAGGTTGTGATGTGCCAGGCTGGATCTCTGGTGCAAGTTAGAACAGCATGAGGGCTGATCATGGCCCCAAGGGGTCATTCTGGCAGCCAGGGATTTCCAGGATCCAGCCAGAGCCCCTTTTCCCTGGCCACATCAGCAGCCACTAAGTGGGGTTGCACAGAAACTGTGACTGTGGTTCTGTGCCACTCAAACACCCCCTGTAACTGAGGGATCTGCCACTGGCTAGCTACACCATCTTTAGAGCTGCTTTGTGCCACCGGAGAGCTGCCAGTCCTCCCCAACCTAGCAAAGGGCTACAGTCAGTGCCTCAGCAGTGATTATATACAGAACGTTCATTCAAACATAGCCTTCAGGAGATCGGTACACTAGCACATCAAAGAAAAGTGTGTTTCCAAGGTGTTCCTGATACATCATTCAGTAAGAAAATGGTTAAGAGGACTAGATTACCACCTAATATTGAACTGACCAGGAATGGAAGCCAGGGCTTTGGATTCCAGGTCCTGTGAATTTAACAGCAAGACAATATGCCCTCTTAAGCAACATTTTCACATAGTAAAAATACAATCACAAAACCACCCTGCAAATTAAACAAGCTTTCCTTCTTTGACTGCTGGATAAAGATTTCTACACTGGGTATTGACAGCCACTGGAGATATATTGGCCAGCTAATGTGCAACAAACAGACAAAAGGTCATTGATGTATGGGGATGTATTCTGAGCTGCAGATTTCAAACTCGGCGCAGGTGAGAAGAGCAGAGTGGGAAATAGAGTAGAGTGTCTGTAAGTCACCTGTCTGCTCCCACAATCCTGAGCTGGCAGCCCCTACTGTGATTTAGAGCAGCCTATGGGCTGTTCTAAACTACGCTGGCTCCTAGGCATCTCAGCTGGAGTCAGGATATTCAAATCTGGCTCTTAATAAATACCAGAGCATTTCTGAGTAATGGACATGACAAAGTGTTGCCACTCACTTTATGCTTCCGGATCTTGGTGCTGTTCTGTGCCAGAGATTCGTCTGCTGGAATTAGGCAAGCGTAGAGTGCCAGCCCATCCTCTCGCCAGACCTGCTGCAGACCCAGCACCTGAAACGGGGCTTTGAGCCCACCTTTCACTTTCAAGGGAGGTACCTGTAAATTCATTTGAACAGATGCTTTCATGTTACACACAACTGCATGATGGCCTTTTCGGAAAGGGAGTGACAATACCCCTTCATCTGACTTGGCTGCTTTTGAGTGGAGATAGCTTGTATCTAGCTTGACTAAAGGAATAGCTAAGCTTTAGCCAGCAGTAACATTATAAAGGCCAAATTAAATAGGAATAGTAGGTGGTGGTAGGTCATGGGATTTATCTTCCCAGGAAGGACCCCCGTAACCTGAAAACTGTGCACTCAGTCAGCTATGCAAGAGCAAGAGAGACGTGCTGCTTGTATTAGCTCCCTAGCCTAGCAAGAAATGAGAATGGAGAGTCCCTGTCAACACTGTGCTGCAAGCTCTTAGCCCACAGCAGCACTGTACGCTGCCTTTATTAATGATAATGAGATCAATACAATCTCTGCTCAAAATCAATGCCAAGTGATGATGCCATTATAAGGAGCTAGCACAAGGTTCTTTAATAAGCCTACATATTCCCAAGTAACAATCAGTAATAGCCACAAATGCATCAGTCACTTTCCTGTTTTACTTAGACCAAGGCTGTTTTTTAAAAAAAATAGATTATATTTTTTGTTGCAGAGGGAAGTATTCTATTTTTTTAACGTACAGATTTAATCTGAAATGAGAAGGATATAAAGCCAGCCTGATAATGAACACTAGGTATCAAGCATATCAGTTTATTTCCAGAGACAAAGCTCTGGATTCATAAACCCCTTATTGGCCAAGACAAGAGCTGTAAGGCTCATAAAATCCTGAGGAAGTATGATGAATTTCAGCACACGGATTGCAGTGAGAGACCTTGCTATTCATGGTGGAAAGGAGACAAAAAGGAGCCCTGACAGGGATATAAGAACAGCCATACTAGATGAGACCAATGGTCCATCTAGCCCAGTGTCCTGTCTTCTGACAATAGCCAGTGCCAGGTGCTTCAGAGCGAATGAACAGAACAGGGGCAATTATCAAGAGATCTATCCCCTTTCATCCAGCCCCAGCTTCTGGCAGTCAGAGGCTTAGGAACACACAGAACATGGGGTTCCATCCCTGACCATCTTGGCTAATAGTCATTGATGGACCTGTCCTCCTTGAACTTATCTAATTCTTTCTTGAACCCGGTTACACTTTTGGTATTCACAACATCACCTGGCAAAAAGTTCCACAGGTTGACTGTGCATTGCATGAAGAAATACTTCCTTTTGTTTGTTTTAAACCTTCTTCCTATTGATTTCATTGGGTGAAGGGGTAAATAACACTTCCCTATTCACTTTCTCCACAGCAGGCATGATTTTATAGACCTCTAACACATCCCCCCTTATTCATCTCTTTTCCAAGCTGAACAATCCCAGTCTTTTTAATCTCTCCTCATATGGAAGCTGTTCCATACCCTAAATCATTTTTGTTGCCCTTCTTTGTACCTTTTCCAATTCTCATGTATCTTTTTTGAGACGGGGCGACCAGAACTGGATGCAGTATTCCAAGTGCGGGAGTACCATGGATTTATATAGTGGCGTTATGATATTTACTGTCTTTTTGTCTATCCCCTTCCTAATGGTTCCTAACATTCTGGAAAATAGAAAACACCAGGAAAGAGATGGCAGCAAGAGGAGGAAGAGGCAGCAGGAGACCTGAGAGCTTGGGCATGGGGGAGAGGAGGGAGAAGGGAGATGCAATGGGAAAAAGACAGGGAGAGCAGCCACAGAATGGAGTGGCAGCCTGGGCAAGGCCAGATTCCCTGACTTGGATCATGTACCATATGAGATGAAAAAACAGGCAACTTTTGAATTATGAGGCTCTAATTCCATCGCAGGGCTCTGGTGACTACACAAGCCCCTTGCTTTATGTTCCCATGGTTTATGCCATTGCTGGGATCTCTAGATAGATTTATAGACCCTGCTGCTTATTCCATGTGTAACATAAAGCTATTCTTCCAAGTGAGAGAAATGCCTTTAAAAATGCACTTTCAGTACAGGGCTCAGGCACATTTCCAACCCCCTGCGTGGAGCAATTGCATCACTGGGAATAGCACTGCCACTGCCTCCACCAAGGGAATTTCTGTAGCAGTTCGCTACTGGCGATTTTTTAAATGTGGAGTGCCAAGATTTCAGTGTTCCTCTGATTTTCATTTTTGTTCCTGTTACATGCTCTTTGCAAACTCAGGGGCTGATCCAGCTCCCACTGACCTCAAAGGGAGTCTCTCCAATCACTTCAAGTTGAGCTGGATCGGGACATGATTTTACCTTGTTTGGGTCAGCCATTGTCTGTTATGGTAGAGGAAGGAGAAGTATTAAGAGGATGATACATTTTTTTCCCCACCTTGATATTTTTCTGGTAGACAAAATGTGGGGAGCCTGATTCTGTAGCATTTCACACTGTGTAACTCACCAGGGAGAGAAGCCAGGTAACAAGAGCCTGGTAGATGCCGACTGCTGTCAAGACAGTGTCTGGGAAGCGTCCACTGTGCTGACCACATGTGGCTACCTGTCCACAACTGGCGAGCCAAATCGTCATGAGAAGCATCTCACCGTTAACGCTGTCTGCACTTGGCAACGTGTTAATAGCTGGCAAATAAGAAGCTTCCTGTTGAAGGAGAGTGGGAACATTAAACTAATTTGTATTATGAGGCCTGAAACAGAAAACTATATTGATTTAGATCAATACAACTGGCTGAATGCGACCATCGCAGGTGGCGGTAATAAATCTATAGGAACATGCATGTTTACAGCTTCACTTTTACATTTTATCCAAGAGACGGCACCTCTAGCAACCTATCACCTCCTAGCTCCATGCTGGGCATTGATTCTATACTGACCTATAGAGATCCCAGCGCCACTTCCTGTAGCATGCTGGGCTTTCCTTAGAGCTCTCTCATCCATGTCCGGAGTAGGCCTAACACTGCTTAGCCTGTGGAAGCTAATGAGATCACAGCCAGAAGTAGTATGACTGGAGTCATTCAGTATTCATCATCAACCTTAAATGTTAATTACTTATCAGGGAAATGCCCTTGAATCAAGACTGATAAGAGTGATAGAGCTTGTATTACTGTCTGCTCTGCCTAACAAATCTCGCTGATCTATCATGTACATTTAAGTGAACTCTCACCTCATCACCTTGATTATAACTGAGCATTGGTATTTTGTCAATTAGGAGAAGAATCCCTCCCCCACCCTTTTATTTTCAAATGCAATTCTCACAATTTTGCATTGGCCATTACCAGTTTTCCGGTAACATGCATTCAGTATGCTCTGAAACACTGATTTCTTGCAACCTAAATAAAACACACAGGTAACTTTTAATCTGTCCTCACTGCAGCGTGTGGTGAACTTTACAGTGCAAGCTGAGCACACAATCGCAATGGAACTGTGCGTTTTCATCCCCAGCTCTCTTGGCTTTGTGTCAGAGCTGGTTATCAATGCCATCGGGCTGAAGCTTCGTGGATACAAGTTTGTTGGACAAGATGAACAATGTGTTTCCAAGAAAATGGCTCTAATTGGTAAATGATGCTGTTTGTAGATCTTCGCACCTCTTGATAATCTGTACCTTATTCCCTGATAACCAGAAACTTCTGTGCTTTAACTCTGTACCATTTTCTTTTTATTTTAACATCATTTTAATAAAATTATTAAATCAGTTCTTGGAAAGGAGAGTTGGCCTTTTTGCAAATTTCCTTTCAACAAGTCCATATATTGGATTGGCCAAACAGCTCTTGTTGCTCTAATATGAGCAGGTCCTGTTGAGATTTTTAGATGGTTGGATGTTACTGGGCGAGGGGTGGGGAGGCAGAATGGTTCACTGGTAAACAGATCTGAGACCTTTCACCCCTAAGTAGAAGGCTGGACTCCACTCTGGATTGGTAACAAATGAAAGTCTGTTAGGTAAATGCAGTGTATCCAGGGGTATAAAACCATGATCATAGCTGGTACTCTCAGCACAGAGCGAACTCACCTCTCTGTCTTTCTGGGGGTCTCTCCCAGTGACGAGTGAGGCCCTTTAGAGGAGGACCTTGTATAGCTGTATCTTTTATGTGGCTAACCAGGAGCTTTTGGACTCCAGGGCTCTCAATCCAGCATTAAATTCACAGCAACGCTGTGTAAAGATGAGACTAAATGTCAGGTCCTGCTGTGATACAGTCTTCACAGTGTTAAACAGAGTTCATAGCAGTGAGGACTAAATTAGGGTGTACTTCACATTGAAGAGGAGGAAGGTGGCTTCCTGATTAAAGAAATGAAGATGTATCCTTTATTTGTAGGGACTGTGGATGGAATAGGTCTTATTCCATACTGGCTGGAGGATTCATAGAACAGTTGCTTGCAGCCAAGTCTAAATTTATCTTTCTATGTCATCCTCCCCGCAGCCTGGATCATGGGGATTTAACAGGCAATCCCTGATGAGTGGCAAATTACCGATTGCAGAAATTGTCTGCCAAATGATGCATCAGCTGTACATTTGTAAATGTGAACTGATTTCTAGGTACTTTAGCAGCCTTAGCTAATTCCTCTAATGAAGTCTCTATTCTCTCCATGTTAAAATGGCTTCAGCCTTCCATGACCTCTTACAGTACACAGTATTCATGCGCAGAAAAAAGCAAGTGTGCAGAAGGCATTGCCATGTGTCTGTTTTCATAAGCCTGGAAACTGGACAGAGCTGTGCTTTAACCAGCTAGGAAATGCAGTTGTTCCCCTTAGCAATCATGTCCATCTCTCCAATGAAACGCAGGTAACATTCTTTCATGGCTTCCTAATTTCTAGTGGTGGATGAAGACATATCAGAAATGTCAAGTGTTTGTTCTTTCCCATTCTTTGGGGAAAGGAAAAAATGATGGCAATACCATCTGTTAGTCAATTTCAAACTACACATTAAATTGTGGAATAAATCCTGCAATCAGCCAGAGAACTGCTTTATCAGTGCAGAATGGAAGCAATGGATAAGAATGAGAAATTGTCTGAATTTCCTGTATTAAACTGGCAGAACATACTGTAATTAGGATGGCAACATTTAATAATGAAAAGAATCATAAGATTGACATTAATGGTCTGAATGGTCTTTCTGTTAATGCACTTTAGCACTGGACTCATACTTGATAACAGGAGTGGTTTTCTGAATATTAACCATTCTGAGGTTACTGAGCTGAGAAATATACCCGTGTCAGTATGATACAGAGATTTTCTGACCTGAACCATGCTTTAGATTGTTGAAATGGATGAGGTATAAACCTCCAAAGTAGATAACTCTAAAGTACTGCCAAAATAAGACTTCAGGAATTCAAGGATCTGAGAAACAGAAGCTTTATTTGCTGCTATCGTCCCTTTTACACAGCTCTCCAATTTGGTCCAGGCATTGCATATTGTGTTAGGTTGTTTAAATTGAAAGCAGACATTTCCTTGCTAGGAATAGCTTCTTTTCTCTACTATTATTCTCAGGCTCTAGCTTGAAAGAGATCGTCTCTCCTGATTGGGAAGTACGATAAGATTTGGATCAGCCATTCTTCCCTCTGTGAGAGCCCGAGAGGGCTAACGCCTGCCTGTGTCTATACAGATTTATGCAATACAATTATTGCACTGTGAAGGTGCAGGTGGGATCCTACTGTTGCACACAGCCCTGCTCAGCACAGGACCCAGAGCAGGGGGATATGGTTTTATACAAGCTTCATGTTCCCCCAGTTGTGAGGCCTGGAGGGGCTGGGTCAATCCCAGGTGCAATATACAGCAGCCTTCTCAGGGCTGCTATAACCCAAAGCGCTGATACACAAGCTGGGAATAGTTGGAGCATAGCAGTGCTCCATACACATCCCTCTCCCGTTGGCCACTTCCTTGATAACCCCCATGCTGGGGCTCTGAAGGGGTGTGGTGTACAGCGAGCTACACTGTCTCTATTGCACTTGAGGACTCACTCACCCCAGGGGAAACCTCAGCTGCCCAGGCAGGGCAGTTTAGTGGCTACTTTGTGCCACCAAAGCAGTGCAAAGAGACCAAATCAGAGCCAAGGATCTGGCCGAAGCACGCACTGGCACATATACATTGCTTGTGTTGTTGGCTGTATACCTTGGCAACAGGAGTATGGTTACAGGGTACACGGATGTTGTTGGAATAGAGCATACACTTCCTCTGCTATCTGCAGTAAACAAGATGGCTCCATTGCACTAAACAATTGCTCTTGAGGACAGCAACCACATGCAGAGCCTCACTGCAGTGTTACCTGGCCTAACCAGTGATATCCTGTGCTGTCAGAAACCCTCCTTGCTGGATGCTGCTGGTATGTGCCACTGCCCTTGCTGTGCTGTCTTTCTGATGTGTTGCCAGGATCTGGCTCAGCATGGGCTCTCTTGACACCGTTTCTGGAAGCAAGCGTCCTGTTGGCCACTCCTGAGCTACTAGTTATGAGAGACCTCTCACTCGCTGCCAGTATATTTCTAGTCAGACTCTGAGATGTTATGAATGGATCAGAAGGGACTAGTGATCAGGAAACCTCAAAGAACAGCCCTCAAATGTTCTGATGCTCTTCGGAATGATTTCCAAACCACAGGGATACAAAACCAGACTGGAAAGCTCACTGTATTTTCCACTTTCAGCTGCTCTGAGAGTCCTCACTCTGATTGTTCTTCCATACCAGCAGATATGACACAAAAGGGCCTCACTTAGCACATCTTATCTTGAACATCTTTAGGTAAAAATTCCCATTTTCCAGGATCTTGCGCCCAACCAAAATATAACAGGGGCTGATTCTTGTCTCCCTTACATGAGAGTAAATCAGGAGGAACTCCATCAAACTCCATCAAAGTCAATGCCGTCATGTTGGTATAAACCAGTAGAAGTGGGAACAGAAGCAGGCTGTTTGATTTTGTTTGCTTTCTAGAATACAAGATGGAGAGCTCCTTTCCTGAGATGGTTATTTATTCTTCTTATTACATTAGCACTGGAGAGGCTGAGCAGGGATCACAGCGCATTGTGTTGTGTGTTACACAAATGTGAAGCAAAAAGAGAGTCCTTGCCCAACGAGCTTATGATCTTGGTTAGTGACAAGATGCAATAAGTGGCTGAAACAAACAAACAGGTCAAATGACTCTGCCAACCATAAACGCCAGCCTCACTTCCTCCTTCCCTAAGACTGACACAACTTAATGATCTTTATCTCTTTGAAAACAAACAAACAGGTATGGAAGAGATTTCTCTGCCCAACACACATTCTAGTGCGTGAACTCAAGGGCTTTACTCTGGGAGAGGTGATACAGTGATCTGAGCAGAGGACTGGGAACCAGGTACTCGGGTCCTAATCCTGGCTCTAAGCCTGATTCCTTAGGAACACCACTTAACCTCTCTCCCTCCATCTCTCCACCTTTAAAATGGGGATAGCACTCCTGACTTAACTACCTGACAGGAGGATTAAATAGCTAAGGTCTGTAAAGCACTCTGAAGATGGACAGCACAACATTAAGGAAAAACACTAACATTTTGTCTCTTTCCTTCCTTTACACATTCCAGAAACAGAACTATTTCAAAGCCATTATTGGCTGGGCAGCCCAAATAACACCTGGATCCCTTATAGTGCTTTGCATCTGGAGTTCTCAATGCACTATTCAAGCA